AAGCTCACTCACACATTTCCACCAAATGGCGAGTCAGTGTTGAGAGGGTTTTTGATAATCACTGGAAGATAAAAGGGAAGAGAAGTTAGAAACTTTCTTACACTGGAATATCAAACACTTTACCACAAATGGGTGTTGGACCAAGGAAGCATTGAAATCTACCACACGGTAGACAAGACCGTTTTTTGTGTTGCTATTTGCTCCTGATTTGTAGTTGAGTCAGTGGAAATATTTAAAAGGCAAATGGATGAACCTTTGAGGAAACGTTTGAAAAAGAAACACAGCTTTTGATGGCTGAAAATAATGCTTGACACTAAACTAATTGAAGCGCTCAATTGAGCTGCTTGGGTGAAATTAAGCCATATGTTACAGCCCTATCCACCTTGAGATCGGAACAATGCCTTGACGTGACTCCATTGCATCTATTGTTTTAATGTTACACAGTGATTTATTCCATTTGGCTTGTTTTTTGTGCACCACTGCTGCCTGACATTGAACAGCCACAGCTGTTCACAGCAGTTATAGAGGGTCTTTGATGTCTGGAGGGTGTTTTAAAGTGATTAACTGACTGGGAGAACTGAGTCGGGGGGGCGGTGGAGAAATGGGGGTTACTTTCTATCGAGATATGAAGCCAATTATGATAGAACGTTGTCGAAACAAAAGCAAAGTAAAACACGGTTGTGAGAAACAGCCTTTCAGCCTGTGATTTGTTTCTCTTTGAAATCACAACCAATGTGGTGGTGGGGACTGTGTTCTTGGTCGTCACTGAATGCTGTTGGGGTTTGACCGGTTGCTCACAGACTGTAGATGATATCCGAGTGGATATGAACCTAATGTACAAAGCTGTTTGGGAGCAGAAGATGAAAGAGCCCAGTTCTATAGGTCAGACTACTCTTCCTCAGACTGGGGTTGAAGCTACTTTGTCTGGACATTTGGAATTGCCTCTCTGTACAATTGCCTCTTCCCATCTTTCATCGAACTGCGTGTGACTCGGTCCCTGAGCATACAGTGGGAAACCTAATCTGTTCTCTGTCATTGTCGAACCTCCCCCTTGGGATGTCGCAAAAACAAAAGGATGGCTTTGTCATTGGATGAGTGGCCATCGATATTTCAAACAGTGAGGAGCACAGTCAGAAGCAATTGCTGAATCCCTGGAACAGAACTCGGCCTTGAACAAAATAAAATGGATGTGGCATCCACGGCAAAGTGAAAGAAGAGACGACGGTCGTTAACTCCGGACTTCCACCCACACGCACTGTGTTTAGCCCTTTTGAAAATATTGAATTTTTGGACTGGAATTCTTTTCCAATCAGTTACCTCTCATTTTTAACCCAAATCTGATCAATCATCTGCTGTCCATACATGGTTATTTATGTCCAGAAACGTGTCAACCTTATATATGTTTAACTCAGTGGCCAATATTGCAAACCTCCTACAAACTGATGGCAGATTCAGCATTGTTGCTCTTTCCTCTGTAATAATAATGAAAAAAGCATAAAGGTTTGACTTGTATGTCACCATTTACATTACATGGGTCATCCAAGTTATGATTGAAAAGATGGTGATTAGTAATAATGACATAATGCTTGTGACTTTCATGTCAGGAGGACATTGCTAAGCGCTTCACGGGATTTACTGTAAACTGCAGCGATTGTACTTTGTAGGCGAATGATAACTATTTTGCTGTTATCTTAAATCTACAATGTGAGCTTGGAGGAAAGTAAACCGTCTAGTCAGAAGTCACCCACAATAACTGGCAATGACTGCTCTAACTACTGGAATCACGCCACCTGACCTTCATACACCCTGGAAGCAAATCAGATTGTGTTCAGATGCATCGTGAAAATCCATCTTTTCAATTGTAACTGTTCAAAGTAGTGTAATGTAAAGTTTGTTTAGACACCAATAGGCTGAAATGCTACGCGAGATTGCTGTTGATGTGCTTAGTGTAGCAAGAAATGTCATTGTTTCTGAAGCTGTAAAAGACCTTGAGATGTGCCGGAGGCATGTTGATTTATGTTGATTTAGCCAGAGGGAAAATATTCAGCAAAATAAAATGCATGCAAGACTCATATCTTCTTCCAAAGATAAAATTGATGCGGGCAGAAGAGTGGGCCGATTCCTCCAGCTGACAGATCAAGTACATCAGCTGAATCCACTTTTTCTGGTAACTTTTCCTTGTTCTATGCAATGAAAGCTGAGATTATTGCTTAAGAACATAAGAACATAAGAATTAGGAGCAGGAGTAGGCCAATCGGCCCCTCGAGCCTGCCCCGTCATTCGATAAGATCATGGCTGATCTTCAGACCTAACTCTAATTACCTGTGCTTACAGTGCAGTATGTTGTGAACTAATGTGTGCGTAATGCAGGTCCTTCAAAGTTCCAATTTGTAATACCTAATCACTTTATCATTCATTAATTCATGACTGTTGACATATGAATTGGTCAAGTATTATCTTTCTATCTTCATAGTTATTCATTCACTTCTTATACCATGAGATTTGGAACAACAGCAACAATAATAATCCTGGCATTTGATATAGCGCCTTATCAAGTCTTCGAGATGTCTCAAAGCGCTTGAATCTGTTGTGATCTCAGAAGAAGGCAATGGTTTCCACTCAGTATGAAGGATCTGAGGAATGTGTGGATACAGGCAATCTTATGTGTGAAATATTGCAACATGTGAATATTTTACAATCTGCCTTTGATAAATAAAGACATAATTAGAAAAAGGTCATTTGACCCACATATTTCCTCCATAGACCAAACGTGTCAATGGCAAGCTATGTTTTAGCTGGTTAGACACCAGCAGTACCCCCAACACACCAAGCTTTGGCTCTCGCCAACCTGTGCCTAATACTCTCCGGAACTGGGAAAGCTGGATGCATCCCTCCAGGGATCGAGAGAGAGTGCATTCGATTCCAACATTCCAACAATCTATCTCTGGAATTTCCGTGTGTCGGTGGGATGCATGGAATTCTTAGTTTGGTTTGGATATTATTAAGCATGGTGATAGGTTTCCGCATGTGTCAGACACCCAGCTGATCAAAAACAAATAGACCAAACAAAACCTACCATGTAATGGATTTCGTTCTAACCTTGGTATCCCTTAAAATCACAATTCTGCAACAGATGCTTCCTTATCACCACATGTAGACAATCTAAATGCTTGCTTTCTTTGACTGAATCTATCAGTATTCCCTGTTGCCCTCCAGAAATTGGTACATTTGTGCAAAGCTATTTCACTGCACAGTCCTATCCCAATCTGTGGGTGATTGGGACCTGCAGAAAATAGATAAAAGCCCAGATTTCCAATCCAGTAATACACATTCTGTTCAAAATACAATGTTCTCCCTGTCAGAAAACACACGAAAATGTACCGCCACCTAAACAATTTCTCCAGATGTTTTTTCTGTAAGCTGACATTATATCGCTTTGGAATCTAGCCCCCGATGATCGATGTTGAATATATTTTTTTGAAGTTTCTCAATGGGCAACGCAAGGATGTGCCTTGAGCTACTGTATGTATGCTATCTCTTCAGTCACGAAAACTGCAACAAATTGTTTATTTGAAAGAAAATTTTCTAATTCATGTTCCGCTTCACTGTTTGGATTCTTGTTGTCTTTTAGTCCCAGCACGAACCAATAATGGGGAGAAAATGTATTACCTTGTTCTCTTTTTGTGCCCGAGGTACTAGTGTGCTCCGTAGCATAATTCTATCAGCCCCCAAAGCACCGACATTGGAAATTGTTTTCGTAGCAAGATTTGTGCCCCGAACGGACATCGTGGATCTAACCCTAAATTGCACCTTACTTCAACCGGAGCTGGCAGCATTAAACAAAGATTCAGTTTAGGTTGCAGAGAAACTATGAAATCAGCCAGGTGTGAGCCTGACTCAGTTGGTGGTACTGTTGCCTCTGAGTAAAAAGGTTATGGGTTCAAGTCCCACATTCAGGTTGTAAACTCATGCAATCCATGCTCATATTCCAATATAATGTGCTATTCTTTGAATGAGACGTTAAACTAAGGTTCTGTCAATAGAAAGTGAAAATACTAGTCCATTGTGAACTGCTCCACTGCTGGTGTTTAATGCACTGGACTGACAATAGGTTGCAAGCCTTGTATATTCAGCTCCAGTCAGGAATGGCGTTGATACACAAGTGTAGAATAGAAACTAAGCATTTCGACTGTGAGTTGCTTATTTGTCAGCTTCACTTAATTATTATCACTGTCCACTGCAAAACAATTAGACCTGACTAGAGACCTTGAGTAAATTTCTAGCAAACATTGACCAGTAATGCATTTTAATTAAAGTACCATACTGTGGTTTTTGAACAAGGCAGGCACGAGCAATGCTGTGGTATTGCTATTTATTTACAGACTAGAGGCTGTGTTATTTCCTTCAGCTAAAGCCTTGAATTGAAATCTACAAACATTGCATTTTCACAGCCTTGTTATAAGATATCTAGTATTAGAGAATGTGGAACTTGTTGCCGGAAACTGGTAACAATAATAATAATAATCCTTGCACTTATCACATCTTTGAAGTTGTAGTTAAAGCAAATTACATTAATGTATTTAGGGGAAAACAATATATTATGTGAATTTGCATAGTTTCTGTACTTGCTCTTAGTGAAATCACCTTCACCTCCAATGGACCACTTCACAGCTTACTTGTCCCAGGTGCAAAGTGCTTCCACACTCCTCCATCAGCGACTAGTTGGGAAGATGGTTGTAAATCAAAGAATGCGTTCCTTATTTCAGTGTCCAAATTGAGGTGGGGAAATAATAAGAGAGCGGGGAGTTGGATTAATTTGGACAGCACTTTTCAAAGAGCCAGCACAGACACGATGGACCAAATGGCCTCCTTCTATGCTGCATTATTCTATGATTCTATGAGATTGAGGTTTGAATCTCAAGCATTTGAAACTAATGGGCTTTGAGGTGACTGAAGGGAGAAAGTTAAATCGTTCATTCATATGTTTGTGTCTCTTGCAGATTTGGATGACCCTGTGCTGACAGTGCACCAGAGTATCGGTGAAGCAAAGGAGCAGTTTTACTTTGAAAGAACAGTGTTCCTAAGGTGTTCCGTCAATTCAAACCCTCCAGTCCGATACAGCTGGCGACGGGGAAAAGAAATTCTATCGCAGGGATCAGACAAGGGAGTTGAGATTTATGAGCCGTTTTTTACCCAGGTACAACATTTAAAAGTTTCTTTATGAATTATATTATTTTAGCATGGATGGTGGAATGAAGGTTACTCCCCCCTCCCCCAACATGTTGGTTATCAAGATCCCATGTGAAATAGGTTTAGTACCCAGTGACCAGTGTGTGGGACACAACTGCATTATTGAAGAAGGTCCTTAGCTCTTTTGATCTTATCGATAGAGAATATCAACCCCAAGTCCATTGCAACATTGAGCTCATTTTTCTCAGATGAAGTCATTGAGCTCATAAAAAAGCTCTTCTCTTCACTTGTTGCTCTTTGCCTGGGAAGAACAGACTAATCTTTACTCGCTTCCTGACTAAGCTGTACCTTCAGCTCTTGATGCTGACTCTGGAAAGGATATCTCTCACCTTCAGAAGCACAAGGAAACTTTTAAACCAAAACGTGGTGTTGCAACATGATGCTACAGTACTTGGCGAGTTGAAGTTAGACCATCTTCGTAATCCACTTTGTACTGTGTGATTTGTGCTGACTTCGATATAAGCTGCTTACGCAATAACTTCACACAAATAATATCACTTCTGAAAGTGGTAATGGAAATCCTATGATGCAACCTGTAAAGGGAAAATAGAAGTTAAGCATGTAATGCTTTACTTTTATTTTACTTTTAGTAGAATAAAGTCATCTTCCCTTAAAAGCCTGTCCAACAATAGAAAATTCTGTTGCTGATAGATTTCACCCATTGGAAGATTTTTTTTGCCCAATCATTTCGACAGCATTGACTGTCTGACAAGACCAGCTTGAGTCACAAATAAAGGGGATTTATTTGCCAGTTACAGAATATCTGAGATATCTTAGATAAACACATCCTTGTTAGTCCATCCATCAATAAAATACTCAAATTGCATTTATATCGGTTTACACATACGTACTGTTTGCAGTTCATCAATATTAAAGGAGGAAAACAAAATTACCATAGTATGCATGAAATACAATGGCAGAGAGCTTTAAATGTGTGCTTAAAATTGGGTTAACTTTCCTGTTTGACCATGCCTTCAGTCATCCCTTGTGTCCACCCCACCGCTCTTGTCCTCCACCCCTCTCGATTCCAAACCTCAGCTTGAGTGCAAACCCTTGACTGTACAGTGCCTTGGGATGTCCTCCCGACAATTTGTTGTTGGTGGTGGTGGTGGTTAACAATATTTCATTTTGAGTCTTTTGAAGAAGCAGCTGGGGGCCTGAATAGAAAAGTGTGGTGTTAATGGATAATGCAATGTTTTTTTTTGGGGGGGAGGGGAAAATGCAATGAATGAGTAATCAACGCATGTGTTACAAACCCTGTATTATTGCTCTCACAATGCAGCTTCAATTTATTGATTCAAGGAAACCTTTCATGCCTGTGTATTTTTTATTGAAGAACTGCAAGGTTTCTGTCACGCAGCAAATGCTCCTCAAAGGTCCTCCACCTCCCACCGTCAATTGGAAGTGCTTATTGTACAGCCTATTGACGCAGATGTGTGACCACCTCGGGAAGCACTCAGTCCAGTAAATGAACTTAGCGGCTCACAGAGTTATAGTCGTATTTATTATTGCATAATAAATTAGATGGAGAAATAGATTAACATTTAAGATTGGTTTGTGCTTGGCCTCTTGAATTATTGTGTGTATGAGATTGTGGAATTGTTGATTTTAAGAATTCAGTGTTTTGAATGGGGGGGAAAGAAATACCTGGAGATACGTTTCTCAAAGTAGACAGCGATCATTTCTTTTATTAGGCTAACAGCTTAATGAAACATTGACTTGCAAGCCCACGCACGCAGGTCTCTTGTTCTGTAGAAGTAAAAGAAAGTATTTTCCATTCTGAAAATTCAATTTATATTAGATTTAAATGCTTAGAATGAAATATTTTGAAACTGGCAGACACGGAGTGATAATAGCCTTTATAAGTTGTTTCCCTTATTTGAGCACATTCACCTTTGCCTGTTGACTACCAGCACATTAGTAGGTAAACACAGCTATTACCCTCGTTGACTTAGCTTCTTTCGAATTCCTTATCCAGTCTTAAGCACACTCGCTTTCTTGTTTTACAACTGTTGTTTAGTGCCCTGGGACGTCCTCCTGATATAAAAGGCATTGTATAAATGTCCATTGCAATAGAGAAGTGGGGTCTTCATCGCACTGCCTTGGTTTACAAATACAATTGCTTTGGACTCACAATAGACCACCAAACAGCAGCAGAATCATAACTGGCGGAATCAATAGACAGAAATCTACCTTCATGTAGCAACAGATTAAAACATAACTGGTTAACAGGTACCTGGGCTTTCTATGTTATGCTGGAATGCATAATATATAAAAGAAAAAGATTCATATATGGGTAGATTCATCAATGTTATGAATAAATATTGGACATGTGAATAGAATCGATTCATTTTACCAGAGTTTGTGCATTTTCTTGTTTGTTTTGTGTCTTTTAATACAAAAAAAACAACCTCCCAAGGGAATAGCAGCATTTCTCTGTAACATTACCAGCATAAGGTGTTACAAACGCTGCTACTTCACGGTACATTTCAAGTGTAGCGGGTGATACTTGAGCCAAGGAGATGAATGAGTTTGTCAGAAGCCAAGTGTCTGCAGCCTCTTGATGCAACAATAACCAACCAGGTTCTGTAGAGGCAGGGTTTATGAGTGGGAGATTTTGATTGGAAGATATGGAAGAAAGTGATTGATTTTAAATTATCAAGACTTGTACTTTTATTGTGCATTTGCTGCTACAGGAGAATTAATATATTTTTCTACTTTACACCTAAGTGAGGAGTTTGGAATTGCATAAAGAATCAATTTTGTTATTCAAGCCTTCATGCAAGTCGATTTACAATTTGTGGTTCATAAAGATGGTTGGCACAAATTCCCCTTTCACTCTGCCCTATTCTGCATCTTTCATCTTCTCCTCTAAGACTCCTATGTTTTGCCATTAAATGGATAAAACAAAGTGGAACAGTCTGGTTTGGATACTCTTAAGAATGATGATAGTTTTCTGCAAATGTTGGGTGCCCAATTAACCCGCCAGAAACTCCTATGAGAAGACTGCTACCAAGGATGCAGTAAACTTTGATGCCTCATTCTCTGGTCTGGTAATAAATTCAATTGCCAAAATTAGTTATTTTCTAACGCTTCATTTATATTTACCCGCTCTGGCATGTAGACGCTCTGGCATGCTCTGGCATGTAGAACAGCGAGCGAGCAGAAGTGGTCAATTTGCCCTTGAGAGGATTGGGTGTCACCAGAAAAACAAGTGGAGCTTTTCCTCCCACACAAAACCTTTCCACAAGCTCTACCAGGAGTCCTGCCAAAATAGGGACCTGGAACACAATTTGGTTCTTTATATACATTTTTTGTGCAAAAAAATTCTCTTTTCTGCTCAGAGAATGTTATCCTTTGTTTGCTTATAATATACAGTGACCATGTCATATCTTGGTAACAAACTGATCATTATTTTAATGTGATATTGTCCCTCTTGTTAATCTTTACTTTCTGTCATCGTTTGTCAATGATGCAAAGCACACTGGCCCATCAGGTAGTATTGTGGCACCTACTAAAGGGAATAAAATGGGCTCAATAGACCTCTCAGCACGTAATGTCTAAAAGAAATGAGATAAATGCAAGTGATTTCCCAGCTGCAATCTCCACCCAGTGAGAATTTTAAACCACTTGAGTTTCTATCTTAGACTTTATCTTGTCGTTTGACCTCCCTTCCCGATCTCACAATGAAGTGACTGTTTTTTTTGCATTCGCACCGACTGCCAGAATGAAATTGTGCTTTCTCGAGATTAAATTCCAAAATGGAAATCCCCAGCTTCAGTTTAAGTTTGAAATTAAGGCTGTGTTTGAAACCGAAGATAAATCGAGTGCAGATCCCAAAAATAAGAGAAACGTGTTTTGCAGGAAGTTTCTTTTCCGTTGTCAATAATGTTGGGCTATTATCAACAAGCCTGAATCCCCTCATTCATGCCCAGATGTAGTTTACCAGTAATAACAAAAAGCATTGATTGGGTGTTTAACTCTTGTGTTGCTTTTCAACAATATTTTGACGTTGTTGGTTTCTTTCCAAACAGGGGGAAATCAAGATCCTGAAGCTGAAAAATCTTCGACCCCTGGATTACGCTAACTACAGTTGCATTGCGTCAGTCAGAAATGTGTGCAATATCCCTGACAAGATGGTTGCCTTCAAGCTCAGCAATTTCACAGGTAGGTGTGCAGACAGATGCTGCTTGTTCAGATAAAGCCTATTTTTTTTCCTAGCAGTTATCCTTTCCTCACTCCCCCAACCCAATTCTTCTCTGTGAAGGTGATGACTCTTGCTGAACTGCGGTATAATAATAATAATAATCCTTGCATTTGATATAGCGCCTTATTACGTCTTCGAGACATTTCAAAGCGCTTTACGGAATGTACTGTAAAGTGGAGTGATTGTGTATGTTGGAGGCGAATGACATGGGCACTGCTCACCAAGTGGCTGTTCTTAAAGTAAGAGGCTGGACATTGAGCCATTTGACCATGAGGGTCATCACAGTTGATCTTATTTGTATCTAACGTCCATACAGCAACATAGAGTCTACTGGTCTGTGCCGGTGTTTATCCCCCACATAAGCCTTCATCCACCCATCCATCTATTAATGTTCAAACCTCCCACCCCCCAACCTGTGTAAATTGTAGCTCAATGGTTAGAGCACTCGCCTCGCAAGCGAGAGACGTGGGTTCAATTCCTGACAGGGTGAAACTTTGGCCAAGTTTCCTTACTCCACACGCCTGATAATAATCCCTCAAGAAAAAAAAACAACAATAATTTTGTCACTCAATCCACGACTGTTTGTGGGACGCTGCTGTGTGCAATTGGCTGCCCCGTTTCGCCCACAAAATACACAGTCAATTCACTTTACAGTATATTCTGTGAAGTGCGTTGAGATGTCGTTGATGAAGATGTGAAAATCACTATGTCAAATGCAAGGATTATTTTTATTATTGTATTGTACTGTATATCTTACAACGCAGTATAAATCATTCACAGCAATCTCATGCCCCCATGTATGTCATTACCTTGAAGCCCCAATGTATATTGCTCATGGTTATCTACCATTCCAATATATACCATTGCCAATTGCCTCATGATCTCAATGTATATCACTCACAGTTTCCTTACAGCCTTTTGTGAAATCAATAATTACGTTTGAACTTTGTAGCTTGCTATACTATTTGTTATAAATTATCCGTGCAGGTCTGAACTACTAATGTCCAGGAGAGCAGTAGATATATAGTGGTAAACTTTAATGTGTGTTTCAATTTTCGACTCAAAATAAGAACGAAAGATTTGAAGATAGGTTTTGAAATGAATTCCCCGTGTTGGTATACAATGAAAATGGTTTCTCTTAGCAATGTAATATAATACAATACAAGTGTGCATGTTGGAGCTTAAATAAATTACCGACGCTTGTGAAACTATCCGCTAGGTTTATTATTTCACAGCTTATTGCAGTAACAATATCCCCGGATCCTAATTGACACATTGCAAGAATTGCTGTAGAAGCATATGATCAGAACCCAGTTTAATATATTTTGTTCTAAAGCAACATCTCAGGTGGTTATAATTGTCAATAATGTATTTTTTCCATGAACCAAACTAAATAAGATTGTAACTTTAGTAACAAACATCCAATAATGGTTTGAACAGTTATTAGCCTCTTGCCAGCCAGCTGTCACATTCTAGCTTTGCCCGTCTGTGCTTTCAAAATGGGAAATTACTGTTTCCCGTGATTGATACTTCTTTTTAATGGAAGTCAAAGAAGCAATTTCAAATAAGAATAAATAATACTTGTGTTTCACACAAGGCTTCATGGCGTCAAAAGCATCTAAAGGTACTTCACACAGAATGAATTACTTTGGTGTGTTGTAACTTATTGTAGGGAAACATGGAAGGTAAGGTGTTACAATTAACAACAAGATAAATCATAATATGTTTCCAGTACAGAAGGATTCTATCCATCAGCCTGTCAGCCTGGTTCAGTGGTAGCACTCTCGCCTTTGAACAGAATGTTGTGGGTTCAAGCAGGATTTAAAACATAGTCTAAGCTGACACTCCAATGCAATGCTGGAGGGGTGTTGGGTTGTTGGAGATGCCATCCTTCAGATGAAACATTAAACCGAGATCCTATCTGTCTGTTCGGGTGGACATTAAAGACCCCACGGCACTATTCAAAAAGAGAAGGGAGTGTCTCACTCCCGTTGCCCTGGGCGACAATCCCCCAAATCAAATCGGTCACTCACTCCCTGGCTGTTGGACGTGGACACTGCTGTGCGCAATTGGCTGCACTTTACAGTATATCCTATGAACGCTGTGAGACTTTGTGACGACGTGGTAAAGCTCTATATCAAATGCAAGGATTATTATTATTATCACGTCTGTGCTTATGGAGTCTTAATTTGCTCCTTTGCACGCCTCTTTTATTGAACAGTACAGATGGGTATTTATTCTCCATGTGCTTCAGCAAGTTATGGGTCGATACTCAGTGCACCCATATTGTTAAAACAGCAAATGACTGACAAATGGGCAGAATGATATTAGGTGTTTGGTTTGGAAAATGATCCCTTTGGAGTGGTTTGAACAACTTGATGATTGGCTACAGCACTGGTATTACTTTAATCTGTGTCCTGCAAAGGATCAATAATGTGTATAGAGAGCGAGGTATTCTGTGGAGAAAACAGCACTGACACCTGCTGAGAGTTTGTGCTGGTCACCGAATCCCTGCTGGCTGCTAGAGTCAAATGTATTATTTAGTCCCCCTCAAAACGACAAGCCAAAAACGAGTATTGGGGAAAAGAAAAAGTTGTGTTTAGTGCATCAGGCACAAAAGGGAATGACATGGAACAACTTGTTCTCCTGTAGAGCACCCTTGATTTTGAGATGTAAGGTGATGCTGACCCAATGCAGGGAAGAGTATTGAGCCACTTGTGAAAGCAGCGGAAACTCTGTGCTGGTACAAACAAGCATTGCTTGTGGCCCTGCTCACAAGTCGTTACACATCCCGCACGCTGAAACAAACCAGGAGAGTGGGGATGTATAAAACACCATCTCAATTTCAGAGTTGCTGAGATTCTCACTAGGCATTCAGTAGCAATTGAAACAGAAAGCACAGGATGGTTGCGAGATTAATTCAGATGAAAACAGCTCTTTAGACCATTTGTTCTCATCCTTCCAGAATACCCACCCTCCCATTCTTCCCATCACAGCATCAAGCTGCTTTTTGGATGAGTTAAATGTCTTGGCCTCAACTGCACCTCCACCTAACCTGTTCCAGTCATTAATTTCAATACTCCTGGTGTCTGTACTGGACTTTCCTTATACAACCCTAAACCTGTTACCCCATGTTTTACTGTCTAAGTGCATTTGAGTTTACTTTTTCAAATACCATTTCAAACGTTGTCTACCTGCACAAGGTTTCAAATAAGTTCCCATTCAACTCTATCGATCACAAATACATTACCTTTCACCCGACACAAAATGAGTGTGTCTCCTCAGCCTGTGGTGTTTTCCTTGTGTGTGAGCTGTGCTCATCGTTGCACATCACACCAAACGGCTCTGTGTTATTAATAGATCGCCTCGAGCGGTGTGATCGTCAGTGAGGACAAGCTCACTGCACTGCATGCTTGCAAACTCTCTGCTGTATCACATATAGGTCCAGCCAGAGAGAGATCACAGGGAAAATCAGCTCGCTCTGACAACAGAAATAGTGAAATGGATGGAGTATCTATAATAATAATCCTTGCATTTGATACAGCACCTCATCACGTCTTTGAGACGTCTCAAAGCGCTTCACAGAATATACTGCAAAGGAAATTGATTGTATATTTTGTGGGCCAAATCTATGGGACAATTGCACTACATCATCCTCATACACCTGTCGGTGTCTGGACACCACAGAACGCCCTCCTTTACCGTGCTGTGCCTTCGGAAAGTCTGGGGGAATTAACTTGATTCTGAGGTGCCCCAGTCTTGCAAATATACCTGGAGGTTTGAAAATAGCATTTGTGCCCAGTTTCTGTCACAGAAGCTGCAAAAATTTATACAAAATCAGGCTTCCCAGTACAAATTCACTTATGCTGTCAGTCACACGATCACTTTCTCTCACACAAGCCTGCTCCCTAATTCCTTAGCAGTCCAGTCAGGTAAAACACTTAAACTCTCTGGGAAAAAAGGAGACATTTCCCACTGAATCTGTTTTGAATCGGCTCAAATTTACTCCCTGTTTAGTTCACACTAAAGCTTGGGCTCGTCTTTCAGCTGCAGTGTGACTGTGATTAATGTTTCAGTGTGCTTTGTTTGGTCAGTGTTTCAGGCATTTGCATGGTTCGCTAATTACCCTATAATATTTTTCAGTAGAAATCTGATGAGAAGTCCTTTATTAAAATGTTGTACACGCAGAAATCAGCGTTGTTGTGAGAGCTGCAGATGCGTTCAGTTTACAACGAGCTGGCAAACAGCACGGCTGAACTGTGTACTCGCGCAGCGAACTCTGGAACGTGGAAACATGGAGTTTTCTGGTGTTATTGCAAATAACTGTGTGATCCACCGCAAAATGCGACCTCCTCCTATAGGTCCCCTGCCAATACGGCTCCTCGGTGATGATAGCACTGAACAGATGCAATGTCCTTCTGCGAGTCACGTGACTCCCAATGCTGCCAGCCCACAGTTCCATTCTCTGATTCAAAGCAAACAGCACTTCCTACGTTCTGAAATTATTTTCAGCTCATCTAATAATAATACTAATCCTTGCATTTGATATCATGCCTTTCATGCCAGGATTCATAGGATTTTTACTGTAAACTGTAGCGACAGCATTGTCTCGGCGAATCTCGTACAGTACATAAGGTGCATCAGGTGACAACTTGGTTCAACAATAACAATTTACGTGCAGCAATTTACTGTATAGCACTTTCCCGTTGGTGGAATATTCGGTTCGCATCACTGTGTCCTCGGAGCCTGGAAGGTTGCGAGTTCGAGCCTCGTTTCACGTACTTTCTGCTCACAAGTCTGGGCTGATGCTCCAGTGAGGTGTTGGGGGAGCACTGCATTGTCAGAGGTGCCGTCCTTCAGATGAGACGTTAAACGATAGGGACACCTTCAGCTTAAATTCCTCTGTGCAAGTCAATCCAATGTCAGAGATGGTTATGAAAAGGGGTGAAGAGCATCCTCTGTGTATGTAATTCCTTATTGTATAATAATAATTATTTCGGTCACTGCCTCGTTTCGCCCACAAAATATACAGTCAATTCGCTTAGCAGTATATTCTGTGAAGCGCTTTGAGACGTCTCAAAGACGTGATAAGGCGCTGTATCAGATGCAAGGATTGTAAGTGTACAGTGAGAGGTGGTCAGGAATTGACCATTAAGTTGTCCCTCTTTGGCCGGTCCACCTTTATACACATCATTGTGCTATCCCACAGGACCATACACAGGGGCTAGACAGCTCGTTCCTATGCCTCGTCCATTGCCACGGCAAGCCAGTACAGGGTGGGGTGCAGTGTGAGCAGATTGTGGGTGGGAGCACTGAGCATTAATTGGGCAGAGTGGGCAGACTGAGTCAGCGACTGCTCAGTGGCACTGCACAGTGGATGCCGTGAGAAGCCACGACACATCATCACCCACTCATTTCTATTTCACCTCTCACCAACTGCTGCTCCAGAAATCGCCAGCAGAGGGTGAAATAAAACACACGTTGTGTTTGCCTATCCATCCTCCTCATTGTATTTAAAACTCAGGACTGAATCTCCAATGGAGTTTTCAGTTTGCCATCTGCTTTATAGTATGTCAGCTTCCTCATGGCTTCTCACAGGTCTCCAATGCTAAAAATGTTTTTTTTTCAATTTAAAAACCTTATTAGTGAATGGAATGCAACACGTTTGTTCCTTCACAGTAGTCTGAATTTGATCACAACTGGGCTGGCGCTTGCTACAATTTGGTGCATAACTGTTCCCAAAGGATGGCAAATATCTTTAAAAGCTATATAGCACTTCCTTGAAATAAATCTGGTGAAGCCTGTTTTTAAGCTCGTTTGCAGACTCACGATGCAAATCAGAAGGACATCCGAAAGCACTGTAAAGGACAATGTCAAGACAGTCACCAGGAAATATTTCTTTACCCAGAAAGTAATCAACTGCTGGAACAAGTAACCAGGAGGGCTTTCTTGGACTGTAACGCGAAGATAGTGTTGAAATTCTGGAAGGCCGGAATCAAATGGTTTTGAATTACCATTTACATCTGAACCTTTCTTACGATCTCAGTGCTCATCATCATTCTCAAGACGATACCTCTCTAGCCATGCTTTCGGTCATCTTTCACCTCCCTTACCCCCATCAGCTCCCACTCCCTCACCTCAGATGTCTGGTCAGCAGTGTCAGAGTTATTTTGCTGATCGTGTTCATAGTTATGAGTCTGTCACTCGTATGTTTACCCCTGTTTATGAGAGTAATTGGAAAGACAGTGGGCAGATTTTTCAATTCCTCCCCTACTTCCGCCCCTCCTCCCCCCCCCCACCCACCAATCATATGACAGTCGCTATCAAGTTGCCCCACAATTTTGAAGCAGAGGATTAGCTACATCAACGGCTTTCAGAGGAAATTGGCACCTCACAACTTGGCTGTGATGGACATTATCAGATGCCAAGCAAACATCAAACAAACGACAGTCTGAGAGCTTTCAGTGAATCCCATTGTATGTACACAAAGTAAGACGAGCCTTGTACTATTAGGCACTGTGTTGAATTACGTGGGTAATTCAGGAAGCAGACAATGATCCCGAGCTGCCTACCAATCTGCCTTTCTGTCAGGAGCATACAGCTCCCGTTTTGCTTGTGGTGAATGGTTGGCATCTGATTGTATTAATTTATGGGACACATCCGTCGTCGAGTCGTTTAACTGACGTTACAGGCCCTCAGGACGTTAATGCACAGCAGCCTCTGCCACTGAAGTGGCACCAACTGAACTGATATAAATACCTTTTCGTTAGGCTTGATAGCTGAGCCCAGCACCCAGCCAAGAGAGCGGGCTGCGCTATGTGGGGATGGCCCCACATAGGAACACAGGAGGCAGGCTGGTTTTGTTTACTAGTGAGTTACAAAGAGTATGACATGAATTTCAATTGGATTCCGTCTTCAGTGAGGGCACTTATTAACCCAACAATATGAGGAAGTGCGTGTGTGTTAAGCCTAAACTTAACTTCCTTATCACAGCAACAAGGACAAGGATGGATTTACTAAGTCACTCGTGCTTTGTGTCTTCTAGCTTCCCCTTCCATAAAGCTGCTGATTTCTGATCAGATTGTGGCTAACCCTGGGGATTCGGTGTCCATGGTCTGCGTGACGACAGGAGGAGACCCACCTCCCACTCTAACCTGGATCAAAGCCATCGGCCCTCTTCCCGACAGGAGTACTCTGAACGCTGGAAGCTTAACGTTGCACTCCATCAACCCGGAGGACGCCGGGATCTACAGCTGCCTCGCCAACAACAATGTGGGCAACCCTGCCAAGAAGTCCACCACCATCACTGTGAGAGGTAGGTCCCATTGCTTTCATCACCAGGCAGTCATGAGTGTGGTTGAGTACATGTGCTCAGATGTTAATGAGGGGAATAGTTAAGTAGGTTTTTTCTCACGTAATCCAACAACACCCAAAGTCTGACGACTCCTTTTCTCTGAGCTGACGTGAACGCAATAAATCTTTAGTTGGTTTCACGGGCAAAGTGAATCACTTATTCTTTTGTCGCAGGGTATGAAAAGGCCACTAGGATTGTATCCTTGGACATGATATTCCACTCTCTATAAACAGAACATTTACTTGCAATGAGGTTGTGAGCAATGAAATTGACTGCCACTTTGGAATCCAGCAAATATTCATGCAATACTTTTTCCCATGGGGTGAAGCCAGTGTTAGCTAAGCTTTGAGTAACTGGGAAAGGAATATTCTTGGTGAGCTGAAAGCAGATATTTCTTGTTCAATACTTTCTTATGTTCTGACTCTGGGTCAAGGTTATAATCAATACTAATCATTACATTTGATATCGCACCTTTCACTTTGGGAGGCTGTCTCAAAGCGCTTCACATGATATACTGTGAAGCAAAGTGACTGTTGTGTGCATGAACGCTGCAGTCAATTCTGCGCACAGCAATTTCCCACCATGTAGTGAATGACCTAGTTTATTGGGAGGGGAGGGAGGTTGTTTGCCAGGATACCGGGAGAAACTCCCTTCTCTTTTCGAATAGCGCTATGGGATATTTAACCTCCACCTGACCAGGCAGTCAGAACCTCTGTTTAACATCTCATCCAATGGATGGCACCTCCAACAACGCAATACATCCCCAGCGCTTCACTGAAGTGTCAGCAAATGAGTTCCAAGTCCCGACATGGGGCTTCAACCCACAGCCTAGTGATCCAGAGGTGAGAGTGCTAGCCAGTGAGCTCGCCACTCTCAGCTATCAGTGACCCATGCTGTTTTGACAGTCTTCCAAGTGCTCAAAATTTTCAACATCTTTAACATTTTCCGCAACTTTGCACCACATGCTGTCAGTCACTTGTGCCACTGCTGCTTGATCCCAGCTTTGATCTTCCTTCCATTTGTTCAAATCACTGTTATTCAATAGAGCAATTTATTAAAAAAATTTTTCGTTGGAACAGAGAAGGTTGAGTGGGGAAACCTGATAGAAATATCATGAGGGTTTTGTTAGGATAAATAAAGAGAAGTTATTTCAACTGGAGAATAACTGAGGAATCAGTAACTAGGTGACATACATACAAGATAGCCACAAGAAGAGCAAAAGAAGAATTTGGAGGCAGATTCCACTGGAGTTTTCAAGAGGGAGATGGACAGGCATATGAAAGATAGGCTTGAAGGGGTACGGGAATAAAGCAGGGCGGTGCGAGTTAAGCGATGTCCTTGCTCTGTGAGCCAGCGCAGGCTTTATGGGCTGAATGGCCTCCTCAGGCCCTGCAGATTTTTATGTTTCCAGTAGGTAGCAAGTCAATCCGGGGTCTCAAATTAAAAGTATAGATTTTTGAAATTGTCCCTGAGTTTTAATGATGGAGTTATCGAATGGTTGGCATTGGAGATATTTACTCTAATATAATAAAATTTTGTGTGTTTTAAGGCTCGCTTCAACTCCATCTAGGTTGATGGTATGTTTACGTGTTTGAGGGTTTTTCGCTTACTTCTGCTGATGGATAATGATTGGGAATTGCACAATGTGCAATTTTTTTTCCTTTTGATTTGATTCATGACATTTTCCCTTTTCCGGTTCCATTTCTCATCTCCTTGTCCTCTTCCTCCCTCAGCCAGGATGAACTGCATTCACCTCCGCTCTGTTCACTGACAGGAGGTGGATGCGAAAGATCCCTGGCGTGTGGGAGTGACATTGGCTTGTTGGGGCTGAGGTTGATGATCAGTCAAAGGTGGGTTTGAATCTCAGGATCCTGTACAGTCACCTACCATAAGACTGATTGGATGACCAACAGCTATTCAGTGGATAGTTTGAAGCACTATTGACTTGTATGCTACATATTTATTGAACAGTTTCAACATCTTAGTAAACAAGGTGACTGACTGCCCCTGGACCTTCATGCAAGCAACATGAGCTGCATATAATGAATCACTGGATTTTTCATGTGGTTTTATATCGATTCGAGCAGACTAGTACAGCAGGGAGCATATTAGTGTAAGATATATGTACTTAACACATGAAGTATGTGTCCTCTGAAGCAGCACATTCAGTCTGGACATTCTCGGATAACGTAGAGCTGTGGGTTCTCATCTCTCCAGCTCAGTCTTGAAAATTTGAATGGATCCAGCATCCGTGTGCTTTGACACGTCCTCCCAACGTGAAAGCCACTATATATGTGTAAATTGTATTATTAACTAGTTGTGATCACTAAGGTTATCTCAATTGTTAGCCTTAACTGTGTATGTCCAGAACCATAAACTCTCTGTCCAAAGACCATTTTACAAACTCCTTTGTCAAGATTGTTGGGGTGGAAGGCAATGATGGGAAAGCTCTCAGCTGCCCAACCTTGTTATGTTTGGTTGAGTCAGTTTGTGAATATAGAGAATTTGTTTGTACACATTACCCCCAGGCCAATGAACTTCTCAACAGGAAGAAACTTGATGTTTCTGCTTCAAAGTTTCTACGAAAAGGGATAAGCATTCAAAATTAATTTGGATGTTTAAAATCTGGCGGATCCAATTCTGAATCTATCATAAAGCTACTTTGTAATGGCAAGGAATTATTTTTGAAACACTTTATAAAGTCCCCGCTGCTTATCAATAAGGGGAAGTTCATAGTGAAATATTGCTTAGCACAGGGTCCAACATAGTTCAACAATGTGCAGAATGTTGACGAAATTGCACACCACAGGAGCTGAACGTCAAGGCTTGTTGAGTTGTTCTTTAAAGGACAATTCATTCAAATGTGAATCCATCCAATTTGGGTGGAAGTTTGGATTATTCCAAATTGGTCTGTTGGGCTGTGGTCACTGTTGACTCCAAATGGATAACAGCTTGATGTAGGTTGGAAAAATACCATCTGTAAAGTCTGGAGCCAGAGAGATCCATTGGACAACTGTGTTAAAACTATGTCAAAGCCTTTGCGAATCCAGGCAACTTGCAGATTTTCCTTAGGCTTAAATGGCACATGAAAGCCAAAATAATGAACAGACTGAATTACAGCTTCTCTGGCAGTTTGGGTGGCCTATCATACTGTAGAAAAACTAGTAAACTAATTGGAAGTGGATTATTGTAGCATACTGCTGAGCACCTGACTCAAAATACCCTTCTTTCTGGTGTTTTAATTCTAAACCATCAACTTCATATCACCATAAATCCTCAGTGAGCTGCATAATAAGACAAGACCTCTTTCAATATTAAAACATGGAGTATTTCACACTTCCACAGGTCCAATGGGCTACATATTGTAGCCAGTGGAGGTTTGGTGCATAGATTTATTGCATAGTGTAAACTCAGCCATAGAGACATATAAGATCGCTCGTCTAAGCAAATCATTTCAGCTGGAGCAATGGAATGAGGTACTATATTGGGCTTCAACTCATCTCTACGGAGGAAGAAAACTATCAGCCAGGTTTCTCATTCCTCATTGATATCCATGCCGGAGTGTAGGGGAATAATTTATTTGCTCAAGCAGGTGATAGAGGTGAATAGTGTGGGCAGTGTGGAATGGATATATTTTGAAATGGTAACATAACATAACATGTAGGAGCAGGAGTAGGCCATTCGGCCCTTCGAGCCTGCCCCGCCATTCAATCATGGCTGATCTTCTAATCTAACTCCAGCTAATAACCTAACCCTGCCTTATCCCCATATCCCTTAATCCCTTTTGCAATAAGAAATCTATCTCAGTCTTGAATATGTTCAAGGACTGAGCATCAACAGCCCTTTGGGGTAGTGAGTTCCATACAGTCACCAGCCTTTGAGTGAAGAAGTTCTTCCTCAACTCAGTGCAAAAGGGCTGCCTCTGATTTTAAGGTTGTGACCCCTGGTTTTAGTTTCTCCAACCAGGGGAAACAATCTCCCACTATCTACTCTATCGTGCCCTTTGATGATCTTATAGGTTTCTATAAGATCCCCTCTAATTCTTCTATATTCTAGAGAATATAGGCCCAAATTGGTCAGCCTATCCTCGTAACTCATTCCCTTCATCCCTGGTACTAACCTAGTAAATCTACGCTGCACCCCCTCCAAGGCAAGTACATCCTTCCTTAAATAAGGAGACCAAAACTGCACACAGTATTCCAGGTGTGGTCTCACCAGGGCTCTATACAGTTGCAGCAAGACTTCCCTACTCTTATACTCTAATCCTTTCATAATGAATGCTAACATACCCTTCGCCTTCCTAATTGCTGCTGCACCTGCAGACTAACTTTCTGTGATTGGTGTACAAGGACACCCAAGTCCCTCTGGACAACACATTCCAATCTCTCCCCTTCTAAAAAATAACCCACTCTACTGTTTTTGCTACCGAGGTGGATGACTTTGCACTTCCCTACATTATACTTCATCTGACACCTATCTGCCCAATCACCTAACCTAGCTATGTCTCGCTGCATTTTTTTAATGATATCCTCTGTGTTGACACTTCCTCCTAGTTTTGTGTCATCCGCGAATTTAGATATATTAACTTCGATGTCCTCATCTAGATCTTTGATTTAGATGGTAAATAGCTGAGGCCCAAGGACTGATCCTTGTGGCACTCCACTAGTCACATCCCCCCAATCTGAAAAGGACCCGTTTATCCCTACTCTTTGTTTCCTACCCGTTAACCATTCCCCAATCTACGTTAATATGCTCCCCCCAATTCCATGGGCCCTTTTCTTTTGGACTGGTGTTGGGTGATATGTGAGATAGGGAGATGGACTGCAGTGATTGTTTCTGGTTCTGCTTATTCTACGCTCCCAACAGTGGATGAATATAAGCTATTCTTCCCCCTTCAGTATCATACACTTTCTCTGCTCTTTCCCCTCCTCATGTACTTGTCAAAGTATGAACTTGCCAAC